GTGTTAAATTAGCATCCTTGTAAGATTTAAAAGACAAGAAAATGCTGGGCAGAATTAAGTTTTTCACCTTAATCTGTATTAGAAAGGGGACTAAAAGGTATATTTTTATTTCATTATTTACAGTTTGCTGGTTGGAGTTAAAATCAAGTATGTACGGAATAAATGCCTAGACATTTAAGTATTGATAACTTATAAGAGATCATCTTTAAGCTCCAAGTTATTCAGAAAAAAGGTTTTTTTTGGGTGGCATTGGGGATTGAACCCAGGACCTGATTCTCACCTAGCCTCATCTCTAATGCTTTCCCTTTTTTTTTGTACCAGGGATCGAACTCAGGATCTTGAGGTTTACAAGGCAGGTGGTGGAACCACTGAGCTAAATCCCCACTGAGCTAAAATCTGCGGCTCTTTTTATTTTTTGAGATAAGGTTTCACTAAATTGCTGAATTGCCCAGCAGGGTTTGAATTTGCGGGATCCTCCTGCTTCACCTCCCAGAGTGCTGGGATTACAGCTGTGCATGTGCCCTCATGTCAGGTCAGAAGACTTCTGTTTTGTTTTGTTTTTGTTTTTGTGGTACCGGGGATTGAACTCCGGACCTTGCGCTTGTGAGGAAGGTGGTGGCACCACTGAGCTAAATCACCAGCCCCAGAAGACTTCTTAAATAGCATTCCCTCAATATTTCTGGGAAAGAAAGTTGTTTTTCTTTCTCATTATATTGCACTTGGTAAACCCCCACCCCCACCCCCACCCCTGCACTGGGGACGGAGCATGAGTCCTTGCACTTACAAGGCAGGCGGTGAAACCACTGAGCTAAATCCCCAGCATAATTGGTAAATTTATGTGTGCTTGATTAGATGTAAAATTAGACATACTTAATCTTTGGTTTTACAATTTCATTAGATTAGAATTGGCCTTTCCTATCTTTGATATAAAAGGTTGCCTCTTTTTTTGGGGGGGGTACTGGTACTGGGGATGGAACTCAGGTCCTTGTGCTGTGGGGCAGGCCAGGCGCTGGAAACACTGAGCTAAATCCCCCAACCTCCTCATCCTTTTTTGACTCAGTAACACCAAGGTTACGTTCTCTGTGCTTTCATTAAATTGATTATGATTGTGTGAAACTAAACAGATTTTTAGGTTTTTGTATTTTGAAACTTTTTGGTCTATATGTAATGTTTTACTCATGCATTTACAGTTTGTCTTTATTTTAATCTTAAACTCTGGGAAAGACATTTAATAGGACAGAACTAAAAAATAAAGTTTTAAAAATGTGGATATTTGGCTGGGAGCTAAAAAAATCAGCGAAAGTTTTATCATATGTAAGATGCTAAACAATGACTGCTTTTGAAATAGTTTAATCACGTTTATTGAACACACTTTGTGAGACCAGTATGAGCCTAGATGCCAAGATTACAAAGATGTTAAGGGCAATTGCTGACTGGGTTATTTTCATTTGCGTTGCATCTTAAAAACAGGCTGATCCGATAGATAATGTACTCTTGTAACAGCATACACAATTTGGTGTCTCTCTTCTTCTTTTTTTTCTTTTTTTTTTCTGGTACCCGGGAGCGTACTCTGGACCTTGAGTTTATAAGGCAGGTTCAGTGCCACTGAGCTTAAATCCCTGGCCCTTGTCTTGGGTTTTGAGACACAGTCTCAATATGTAGTCCAGGTTGGTCTCAAACTCAGCAGTCCTCCTGCCTCATCCTCCCAAGCGCTAGGATTACAGGCCTGGTCTATTTGGTGTCTTTTGCAGACATCCTCACTATCCATCTTTAGAAGACAGGTGACCATTTTAAGTAGGTTTTAAGTCAGCTTTATCTTACATGCAATTTTCTTCTGCTCTCCCCTAACATGAGTAAGAATGAGTAAGAATGAGTAACATGAGTAAGTATAGGGTTTGCTTTCACCTGTAACTAACTGTTCATCAGTTAGGAAGCAGGTACAGTATTAGCTTCCTCCCTCCTAAAAAATGGTGAGTGATGTGCCTGTGATAATAGATGCAAAAGGCACAAAAGCTTAGTAGCTGATTGTATCATTTGAACAAATAAGACATTATTTTGGAGGAATCATTTGCTATTTCACACATGTAGGACAGGAAAGAACCAATCATCAGGTTGCTTTGAAATAAGTGAAATCTGAAATACAAAGCAACTGTGCCACCCCCACCAAGCACAGTCTGAAATACATGAAGTTGGTTTCAGAGGTCAGTTTGTGACTTTGGTTTTACTCCCAAAGATTTGGTCAGGTTTTTGTTGTTACATTAGTGAGTCTGTGGGTTTTGTAAAAATACTTTCAGTTATTCTCAGGCCTTTCCAAACCTCAGAAGGGTTAAACACCAACCATTGCTTAGCTGGGTTGCTGTAAACAATCCCCAGAATGAAACTCCTGAATATTTGCCACAGGTTCCCAGGTGACTCACAAATGCAGAGCTAAGCACGAAAAAGGCTGAGTGGATTTATCAGGTAGTTGTGGCCTCCCCTGAGTTGAGTATCCCTGAGCACTGCTTGGGAGGGCAAAGCTTGGGAGTGGATCTCCTTCAGGTATCTGGGCAGAAAGAAGAATTTTGTCAGGATAAAAGTGAACCCCCAGAGCTACATAATGGAGTATTATGAATTGTAAGATATCTGGATAGTTTTCCTTGATACATTTAAAGACATTCCTTCAATGAAGAATGGAATGTCTTATCAAGGGGCCAAACAATGAGTTTCATGCCAGTTCCCACAAGCAAAACAGTCATTTAAAATGAACAATTCAGGGCGCTAGGGTTTGGCTCTGCTTCTGCTGCCCGCCTTGCAAGCTCAAGGGCCTGAGTTCTATCCCCGGTACCACAAAAAAAAAAAAAAAAAAAAAGGAAGCTTAGTGCTTAGTGTAGGATTCCTTTACAGCTTGCCAAACTATGGCTTCCTGTCCAGACCCAGCCTCCGTGAACCCCATCCTGGCTTAGACTGTCTTCACAGCTGTGTGGTTGCTGTGTCTGTCCCCTTCATGAGGGGAAGGGGACTGACTGACTGTGAGTGCGGAGACTGGTGGTAGTGGTATTTAGTCTGAGTACTGATGGACAAGCTGTGCTTCCTTTGTCCTTGCCGAGGAGCGAGGCTGAAGTTTCCTGGAGCTGTTGATGACCAGAAGGAGACTGTGGACTCTTGGTGTTGGCAGGGTGTTGGCGCTGTGAGAAGAGGATGTCAGGGTACCAGCATCTGTGTTACATTGTGTTTAAAACGGGACAGAGCAAATTAAAGCGATGTAACTTCTTTACTTTTTTGTTTCTACAATGTACTGTCATTTGATCCTGAATTTTCCAGAGCAGCACATGACCATTTTCTTGGGAAGCCATTTTCTTTTCACTTATCGCATGGGTTTGTCAGATTTTAAAAATCTGCCTTATTTTAATAATACTTTTCAATATAGTTTTTCTTACATGTAGAATACCTTTCTCTTTTTTGGTACTGGGGATCAAACTCAGGCCATGGCCCTTGTACTGAGCTATATCCCCAGCTCTTTTTCATTATCCATTTATTTGTTTTGAAACAGGGTCTCACTTGTGTAGTCAGGCTGGCCTTAAACTTGCAGTGATCCTCCTGCCTCAGCCTCCCAATTGCTAAATTATAGGTGTTGCAACCATACCCAGCTTAGACTTAACTTTTCAGCTATTATGAGTGGCCTTCTGTCTTGTCCCATCTCCTTTGCCTTCCTCCCTAAGCAGCAGAACATTGAGGAGGAACAGTAATAGTGACTAACTTCTAAGGAAAGCTTTAGTGTTTAGCTAATTGCTTGGTTATAAAATTATTTTAAGCTCCCTTTTAAAAAGCCGAAAGGGCTGGTGATTTGGCTCAGTGGTTCCACTGCCTACTTTACAAGTGCAAAGGCCCAAGTTCGATCCCTGGTACCAAAAAATAAATTAAAAAAAGAAGCTATAAATCCTCCGTACTTCTGAAACCCTCCCCCATGTTTGGCTGCTTCTCCAGTCACTTTCATAGATCCTTGCTGGGTGGGGTGTACTAACCAGGGTTGGAGTGGAAGGGTAATCCAGAGGCAGATCCTGAGGTTTTGTTTTGCTCATATATTTAAATTTATTTCTAAAGTAGCTTTAAAAGGATGATGATGTATGGTTATAACACTTAAAACTGGCATAAAGGTGATTGGTGTAGTACTCTCCCTGTGCTGATGCCTGGATGATGCTCTTCAGATACAGCAGTTTATAGTGGGCCCTCACATACATTAGCCCTCGGTTTGGCTTTTCCTCACCTGTCTTAGTCCAGATGTGCTGGTGAGGTTGGCCTTTGGTTTGGATACACAGATGACATCTCTTAAGTACAGATTGACGGCCAGCTACCTTTCTGTGTCTGGTCCTGGAGATGTTTCTTCCTTACTTAACACTAATGTTGAGATTCCTTGACCCAGGGCATTACAGTTTATTTCACTCTTAAGTTCTTGGATGTTTGCCGTCTACAGTGAACTGTTCTTAGGCATAAAGCATGGTTTTTTGTTTTTGTTTTTTGTATGGGGGGGTCAAACTCAGGTCCTTGCTCTTGCGAAGCAGGCAGTGGAATCACTGAACTAAATCCCTGGCCTAAAGAATTGTAATTTTTATAAACGAGTGCGGCACAGCAATAATCAGGCAACGTGGGCTTATTCTTAATTTGCATTAATGATTTATAGAGTTATTAATCCTGCATTCTAAGCTTTCTGGGAATTTTTTAATTCTGTTTTCAGTAATTCTGGTGCAGCCTAAACTTGACTTACTTGAACTTACCATTTATTACAGAAGAAATGCCCCCCCACCCCGCTTCTGTGGGTAAAGCAGTGTGAGCTGATGTATGTTGTGTTACTTCTGTGTTTGTATCATAGTGGTCATGGTAAATGCACAGAACAAAGGGTAATAAGGCTCAAAATACGAAGATGTGCCTTAATTTAAGTTTTAGGATGCATCTTTAATTGGGCATGATTTCATCATTTTACAAGATTGTTGGGAGAGTTTGTGAGGTTTTTCTTATTAAAATACTTGATTAAAAAAGTCTTCCCCACTTTCAGAAGAGTGTTGAGGTGAACAGGAAGGGAGGTAATGGAGGCCTCCTTTTGTAACAGGAGCTGTTTTGTGTGTTGATGCAGTTGTCTTGAGAGCTCGAAAACGGCAGCAGATCCAGGAGGGCTTCCCTGGAGCCTGTCCGCTTGGTCGTCAAGTAGGTTAGGGGTGGAGTGGAGCAGAAGAACTCTTTAATGGCTCCTTGTTACAGCCCTCACAAAGCTGTGTCAATTCCCTTGCCTTTACAGACTGCTGCCCAGAAGAAAGATGTTTGGTTTTCACAAGCCAAAGATGTACCGAAGTATAGAGGGCTGCTGCATTTGCAGAGCTAAGTCCTCCAGTTCTCGCTTCACTGACAGTAAACGTTACGAAAAGGACTTCCAGAGCTGTTTCGGGTAAGCACAGTTGATGTGTGTATTGTCCTGGAGTGGAAAACATCACAGCATACGGAAACGTTTCTAAGCAAAGCAGTTGGAGCAGTGTGCTAATAATTAAAAGCACTTTTAATCCAGGACATTCAAGGCTTCTGTTTTTAAGATGAATCACACCATATGACAGCCTGTTTTTTACAGATTGATAGAGGTATCAAATTATGAAGGTTCTCTTATAGGGTTCTAACTAGACAAGGCATTTTTTTAACTTCAGGATATATAAAGGGATTTTTAAAAATTACCCTTATTCTCTGTATTGATTTTCTAAACAGAAAGATATTTTAACCTGATTTGCCAAGGAAAATGATACTAACGTGTTCTTCCCTGAAACCTATCAGGTGATGTTTTTATTTCATAACTTCATTTCTCACTTATCTTCTGACAATAAATCTCTGCTTAATAATAGGGAATTTATTTTCCAACAAGTGCCTGAGTAAGTAAATAGAATGTTGGACCATTTACTGTTAGAAATTAATTTCATCACTTTTCTTACCAAAACATTAATTGACCACTTACTGTTTGTTATTCCTAGACTTAGTAATTACTATGTAGTATTTAGGGATTGTCAGAAAGTCTATGCCTACCATGGCATTTGTGTGTGTGTTTTTGTGTGTGGTACCTGGGGCATTTTTTCACTGCACTGAGCTACATCTCAGCCCTTTTTATTTTTTTGAGACAGGGTCTCAGTTGTTCAGGTGGGACTTGAACATGCCACTTTCCTGCCTCAGCCTACATACCTAGAATTATAAGTGAGCACCACTCTGGTTTTATTTGTTTTGTAAAACTAGCTCTTGGTGTTTGTCTTTTCATCACCTGTCAGTCTGGATGTGCTGGTGAGGTTGTTTGTTGGCCTTTGGTTTGGATATGCAAATGGCATGTCTAAGTACAGATTTACTGCGGGTACCTTCCTGCCTCAGCCTACTAGCTGTATAGAATTATAAGCAAGCACCACCCTGGTTTGTTTGTTTTGTAAAACTGGAATATCATGTCACATTGTTTTCCAAAGGGCAACATTTTACTGATTAATGAAATGCCTCCAAATTTCAAGAAAGATTAATTCGACATTGTTTAAAACCGTGGCAACCAGGATCTTTTTTTCTAGTCTTAGTTTTACTATTAATTTTTACAAACCCCCCCCTTTTTTTTTTCTTTTTTGGCACCAGGTATCAAACTTGGGATCTTGTGCTTGCTAGGCAGGCAGTGGGGCTACTGAGCTAAATCCCTGGCTAATTTTATAGGCATTTTATTGATGAATTGGTTATTGAATTCCATGCTGGGGAAATTTGTTTTTGTTATTCTAAAACTATCAAATCAATATGTGGAATTGGTTCTTGGTTCTATACAGATTAATTAATGTGCTGCAGGAATAGTGGAACCAGGTCATCTCAAATGATTAGAAGTTTTACTTACGTCACCAGGTGTGATGGCCCATGTCTGTAATCCCACTTGGGAGGCTGAAACAGGAGGATCCCTGTGAGTTCGAGGCCAGCCTGTACTACATAGTGAGACCCTGTCTCGAAAAACAAAACAAAATAAAGGAATTATACCTATGAACTCTACATGTACTTGTGTGAATCCTTAAGGGAAAAGATGCTGACAAAGGCTTGACGATTCTCTTTCCAGGTTGCATGAGACTCGTTCAGGAGACATCTGCAACGCTTGTGTTCTGCTTGTGAAGAGATGGAAGAAGCTGCCAGCAGGATCCAAAAAAAACTGGAATCATGTTAGTTTATCTTTCTGTTTCCTCAGTAATTCCTCCTCTCCCCTTCTCTGCTGCCTTTTCATTAGTAGGGATTGGTCCTGGGGCCGTGCCCTGGTCTGCATCTTCATCCCTGTTTTGTTTCCCATTGTGAGGCAGATTCTTCCTGAGTTACCTATGCTGGGCTTGAATTTGGCCTCCCAGAGTTCTGGGTTACAGGCGTGTGCCACCTTGCCTGGACATGAGTTTTTCATACAGTATTTTTGAAAACGAAAACAACACTGTTGAGGCTTTTTTATATCAGTTTAGTTTGTTGGTGCTGGGATGGAACCCAGGACCCCTTCTCATGCTGGGCTCTGCAGCTAAGCTGTGCCCAGCCTCAGGTCTCACTCAGTGCTGTCATGCCATAGCTTTCAAAGTTGTGAGATTTACAGAGTACTTGATTTTAGGTAGGCATGCATTTTTCTCACGCTTTACCGATACCTTTACACTGTTCTTTAGTGACAGTGTTGTATTATTGCAGTAGAGTAGACTTTGGTAGATTGGTTACCTTATTAAATGAGTTTTTATTTAGTCCCATATTTGGAGATCAGAGTTGTGATTTTGAAGGTGCTGGAACCCTTCCTTTTGCACAGAAATCTGCACAGTACATGTGAATGAACACTTGTGTGCAATAGGGCATCTTCAAGGCTGGACTTTGAAAAGGAGCCTTTGACCTTGTGCAGCTGCCCTAAAGGGTTAGGGTGTGGTGAAAAAAAGCTAAAGATAGGGTTGGAGGGCCGGGGATTTAGCTCAGTGGTTCGGTGGCCTGCCTTGCAAGCATGAGGAACGGAGTTCAATCCCCAGTACCAAAAAAAAAAAAAAAGATGGGATTGGAGACCTTGGTCTCAGTCTCCTCTCCTCCCCAGCCACTCTAACCTATTTACTGTCTTAGTGAAATAATTTTTCTTTGCTTTGATCTTCTTCAGTCTAAAATTAGAGTAACAAAAATAGCCCCCTTGGTGTTTGTGGTAAAATAAAAAATATATGAGAGCTGGGCATGGTGACGCACACCTGTAATCCCAGCACTCTTGGGAGGCTGACGCAGGAGGATCGCTGTGAGTTCGAGACCAGCCTGGGCTACATAGTGAGTTCCAGGGCAGTCTGAACTACATAATGAGACCCTGTCTCAAAAAACCAAAAAAAAAAAAAAAAAAGTATATGAGAGCTGGGCAGGGGATTTAGCTCAGTGGTTTCACCACCTGCCTCACAGTGCAAGGACCTGAGTATTAAATCCCCAGTATTAAAAAAAAAAGTAGAGCTTTTAATTTTTATTATTTATTTATCTATTAATTGATTGATTGATTGATTGATTGTCTTTTTGAGATGGGGTCTCACTGTATAGTTGAGACTGACCTGGAACTCACTATGTAGCCCAGGCTGGTCTTGAACTCACAGCGATCCTCCTGCCTCAGCCTCCTGAGTGCTCGGATTACAGGCATGCGCCACCATGCCTGGCCAATGTAGAGCTTTTTAAATTGTAAAAATAATCCTTAGAAATGTTAGTTATTAAACATGATGGTTTGCAGTACAGGGGTTTGATCCTAGAGCCTTTTCTCTGAGCTACATCTCCAGCCTTTTTATTTTTCATTTTGAGCCAGTCTTGCTAAGTTGTCCAGGCTGGGCTCAACCTTGCAGTCCTCCTGCCTCAGCCTCCTAGAATGCTGGAATCTGTGACTGGCCACACCTGGGTGGGCTTGATTGTTCTTAATCTGTTTGGGTCATCTAATAATGAGCAACCCCCATACATCTTATTTAAAGTTTTTTTTCCAACAGACTCGTACTATTACTTCAAATAAAGCATTAGAAACAAGAAAGCAACCCAGGAGTCCTGGCAGCATCTCTGAGGGGTAGAATGTGTGAGTGTCATGTGAGCGCCCCTAGGTCCCTCCCCCACCACAGAAACAAATCCTCGTAGATAAATTGTACTTATTCTTTATCTCATGTGATGATTAGAGATGCAAAGAGCTGCCAGTGTAGAACGAGTATAAAACTTGAGTTCTCAAGTAGACGTGGGTCTGAACCCCACACTCCCTTCTCCTTTCTTCAGTGTATTAAATATTCAGTGTTTTCTTCCAGGTGGTAGATGCGAGGGCAGGACCCAGCCTGAAGACTACACTGAAACCAAAGAAAGTGAAAACCCTGGCTGGAAACAGGATAAAAAGCAACCAGATCAGCAAACTGCAGAAGGAGTTTAAACGTCACAGTAAGCTTGGCATTGGACTTGGGTAGTGAGAGCCAGCTTTTCAATCTTTCTTTTTGGCTGGGGTTGGTATGTGGAATGTGTGCATGATTTTCCCCCTTACTGGCTTTTTAAAAACATTTGAAGTTAATTGCGAGAGATGTTACCTTATACTGTGAAACCTTAGAAGTCTGATGTATTTTTATGAAAAAATTAAATTTCATAACAAGAAAATATAGTTAATACAGTGTATCTTTGTCTTCAAAGTCTGGTTTTGGTGTCAGGAAAGCACCATCAGGGTCTACTAACTCTTCTAATGTCTTTTTCAACATCTTAGTTTTCCTTTTCCTTTTTCTGTTGGGGGTATTGGGGATCAAACTTGGGTCAAACTTGAGCTTGAGAGACAGGCTGAATCCCCTGCCCAACATCTTAATTTTCTAGGTGTATTTCTGGTTTGTTCACTTGATTTTTCTGTGCTTGTGGAAACTCAGTTCTGGAGATAGGTGAGAGGTATGTGTTAGTGGACTGGCTGCAGCCAAAGGCCAGATATTTGATACTTCAGCAGTTATCATTCAGATGTGGAGTACAGCCAGCTTGGGCTTTCAGGTTTGAGGACATTTGTGTTTTGTGGGTGAATGAGCTTTGTGTTTGTTTGTTTGTTTGTTTGTTTGTTTTTGGTACTGGGGATGGAACTCAGGACTTCGCCCTTGGGAGGCAGGCGCAGCACCACTAAGCTACATCTTCAGCCAATAGAGTGGAAAATTACTGTCAGATTAATAGCAGGTTCACACACTATTACTGGAAGGTTGTGGAGGGTGCTGTAGTGGCGTGTTCGTGTTGGGAAATGTTTCAGATTCTGAAAAGGAACCCACCGCATACAGCGATAACTAAGACATTTTCATCCCCCACGGGGTAGGAGTTACCACTTTTGAATCCAACACCCTTTGTTTTTACAGCAAAAATATAGGAGTAGTAGTCATGTTAGGTGGACGGAATAGATTACATAGCCCAGGAAATCCGTTGTCAGCTCATAATCATAGCTCAGGTCAAGCCAGATTCAGTGCTGTCCTGGAATTGTGGAAGGGGTTAAACACTTTTATTCGGAGCTCTGAGGACTTTTAAATTATCTGTAGGGAAATGTTACCAGTCCAAAGAAACTGGTCATCATGCTTGTTTTAGAACAATATAAAAAGAGAGCCAGGTGTGGTAGCACATGCCTGTCCTCTGAGAGGCAGGAGAATCAACAGTTCTAAACCAGCCTGGGCAGCTTGCGACTTAGTGAAACCTTACTTCAAAATAAAGATATTTTGCCAGGGATTTTGATCAGTGGTTCCGCTGCTTGCCTTGCAAACACAAGGGCCTGAGTTCAATCCCTGGTACAAAAATAAAAGATATTCTGAGAGCCAGGTGTGGTGGTGCACACCTGTAATCCCAGCACTCTGGAGGCTGAGGCAGGAGGATCGCTGTGAGTTCGAGACCAGCCTGGGCTACATAGTGAGTTCCAGGTCATTCTAAACTACATAGTGAGACCCTGTCTCAGAACACACCCACACAAAGATATTTTAGGTCAGTGACACAGTGTGCCCAGCAAGCATGAGGGCTTGAGATCAATCCCCAGTATCAACAGCAATGACAACAAAAAAACTATTTTGAGACAGAGGGTCTTGGGGTGTAGTTCAGTGCGGAGGTCCTGGATTTAGTCCCCAGTATCACTAAACAACAACAAAAAACAAAACTGAGTTTACTGAGTAGATAGAGTAGGACATGAAGAATTCATTTTGATACACTTATATGCATAATTGTTTCAGTTATTTCCATTTTAAGAGTTTAGGATTGGAAGCACAGAAAGGCTTTTAACCTTCATCATATCATTTTAATAAGTAGTGGTAAAGATGAATTTGAATTTTGGCAGCTCGTGTTTGAGACATTGGAATTTCTACACAGCACTGGGTAAACAGATTCCTGCTTCTGGTTGTGTTTGCTCCCGTGCGTCCAGCAGCTACCTGCTGCTTGTATATGTTGGGGGTGATATTTGTGGAGTGCTGGAAAGGGTTAGACTTAGGGCTGTAGGTCTCTGAGGAGTTACAGTTATGGGTGTGACTGAGGTTGTTAGACATTTAACCACAGCCTCCTTAACAAAAGCTGCTTTAAAAAAAATCATACATAGTTTTAATGGTATTCTTTGTAAAATTTGTAATGATTTCTGATTCCTGTAGATTAAATGTGAAATATGCCTAGTCTTTTTAATAAGACATAAAATTGGAGTTATTTGAAGCTTTTTGACTTATAGTCTAGAAAAAGTTCTTTACTGTGTTTGTGTAGTTACTTGTGACTGTATCCTAACGGCACAAAGTATTAAACCATAAGACAGTGGGTTTCCTCAGCAACATAGCATCTACTGTGAATTATTTGGAAAGTTTTAAATATATCCCACTAGTCTTAACTCCTTTAAAGCCTGAGTTTGATCCCTGGTACTGGGGAAAGGGGAGGGGAGGGAGAGGAGATATAAAATGTTAATTGTACTTTAGTCTACATATTAATAATTTTGTCGTTTTATGTTAATACAAACTTTTGAGCTCAATAGACCTTCCCCCCATTTATGAAACATAATGTAGGGTTTGGTGCTTAATTAAATATTTGATTGGTTCTCTGAATTTTAGAGAATTGCTTTATCCCCCTGTGCAGTAGATGTGGGTTGATTTTACCCTATTTGTGATGTTGTCCGTGACAGCAATATTGTAGCGTTTTAGTGTATTGGCTGACCACCAGTATTTATTTTCTGACTTTGAAGTTTATATGAAAACTTCTGAGGAAAAAAATACTAAGTCAGGTTTAGCCCTGCATCTAGTGAACTTTATTCCTTATTCAAATCAGGGTCTATTGTTTCCCCTTATAGGTAAAGTGATGTTTTTCTTTGGCTGATGCCAAGATTTCCTTTGTTTAATTTTCAGAGGTTTAATAGTCTTGGGCTGGGGATTTTAGCTCATTGGCACCATGCCTGCCTTGTAAGTGCAACATCATGAGTTCAGTCTCCCGTACCAAAAGCAATAATGGTATGTCTTGGTATGAATTTCTTGAATTTATCCTATTTGGCCTTTGCATAGCTTCTCCATTCTGTTAAATTTATATCACTTAGCAAATTTGGTAAAATGTCGGCCATTTAATTTTGTTACTTTTTCACCTCTATTCTTCTGTCTCTCTAAGACTAATGATGTGAATGCACCTTTTTTGGTTCCAGTCTCGGCTTCATTTGTTTTCTTTGTTTATATCTGAGTAATTTCTGTTCTTTCTTTCATCTAGTTTACTGTTTTGTTTTCTCTGTCTCCTCTGCTGTTCAGCCCATCCACTAAGCTGCTTATTTCATTTATTGTAGCTTTTCAGTTTGAAATTTTCCTAATTTCTGGCTGTGTTCCCCCAGCCTCTCCTCCTTTTTCTTAATGAAGACTTCCCTTTTCTTCATTGTTTCAGCATGTTCATAACTGTACAGTGAAACTTTTTCTCATGACTGCTTTAAAATCTTTGTCTAATAATTCTAACTTGTGTTACCTTGGTGTTGACATGTACTTGCCTTTCATTCAGTTGGAGATATTTCCTGTTTTTTAGTATGATATGATTTAGGTTGAAATCATGGACATTTTCAGATTGTGCTGTGAGACTCTGGATCCTATTTAAACCTGTTCTGTTTTGTTGTTTTTGGTACCAGGGATTGAACTCAGGACGTTGCACTTGGGAGGCAAGCGTCATACCACTGAGCTAAAGCCCCAACCTTAAACCTGTTTTAACTGGGTTACTTAGCTACCCTTGCAGCCAGGGAAGGGAGAAAGGTGCTCACCTTGTTTATCGCTGACTTGTTAGAAGAGTCCTCACTGCCTCCATTGACATCCAAAATAGGGGCAAGTTCTAGTTTACCAGTGGGGAGGATTCCGGCTCCCCATGGTGAGAAGGTCACTTTGTTCCTGGAGGACCGTAGTGAAAGTCCCGGCTGTTCGCAAGGCTTCTGGCTACTACATACCCTGGTAGAAAATCAGTGTCAGATGACAGTGTAAACTAAGGAGGGAAATCAGCGCTCCCTACCTGGCCTTTGCTGGGGTGGAATGCAATGGTCTTGGTTTTTCTTTGGTGTTTTGTAGGAGCCAGAGTGGTTTTTGTCTGATAAAAGTTAACTGTCTTTGCTAGGCTGCCCTTTTCCCTGGTCCTTTGACAATAGAGCTTAGAGGCTTTTATTGGGGCGCGCGCGTGTGTGTGTGTTTGTGTGTGTGTGTGTGTGTGTGTGTGTTGAGGATCACCTGTTCCCATTTGCATTTCTGAGTTACTGGTGCTTTATCTCCCAAATTGTGATTTTTGAGGCAAAGGGAAAATCCAGGGAGGCTAGGAAATTCCCCCCTGTATCCTCCTTTCTTTAAGTCTAAGGTCTTGAGATACCTAGAGTTCCCATCACCTCTCAGAGTTTTAGGTCTATGTTATAATGTCATCATCCTGGGCTTTTAGTTGTATGAAAAGGAGGAAGCAGAATCTTCATTTTCTTATAAAATTACTGTAGTACAGATGTCTTCAAAATTATTAATGTAGAAAATAATTTTTTTACTTTGATGGTGCAGAAATATGTATGCAATAGAAACAGTGCTGCAGGTTTTGAATTATGGTCTGTTTCCAAGCTAATTGTTATGTGTACAGTTCTCTTCCTGGTGCTGGGCAGCCAGAGCGAGCTAGGGCTCCCAGTCAGCTGCCACACAATCCTGAGGGCAAACAACCAGTACTTTATATTTTACTGTTGCTAAGCTGTGCTGTTTGTGAGGTGTAGTAAACTCATTCTCAATTTGGCATTTGGAGGGGGTACCAGGGATCGAACTTGTGCAGGCAGCCGAACCACTTAGCTAACTCGGCCCCACTGGCATATATTACAGTGGACTTATCCAGAGTGTATTACCCCAACAGAGATAGAACAGCCTCTGTAAATTGAGGCTACGTATAATGAAACTGAAGTGTTTTCTTTTCTCTCCAGATTCTGATGCTCACAGTACCACCTCAAGTGCCTCCCCAGCTCAGTCTCCTTGCTACAGTAACCAGTCTGATGATGGCTCAGATACAGAGATGGCTTCTGGCTCTAACAGAACACCGGTGTTTTCCTTTCTAGATCTCACATATTGGAAAAGGTAAAAGCAACTGAAAATATCCTGTAGTTAACAACTCGTGTTAATTTATAGGCAGCAGTTTCCCGCTTCTGTAGCAACTAAATGGCGTTAGCAAACAGCTGGTGGTACACATAGCAGAAGTGGTTTAAGCACAAATTGAGCAGGGTGTTGGGATTCTGTTTTTTCTCTTAAAATTGATTTAAGTTAAAAAAAATACTTCTAGGTACCTAGATTTCCTGTAATGGAGTAGATTGAAGTTTCTTAAAACTGTCAATCTTACCTCCTAAAAATGTGTGAGTGCTAGACATATATTTTTTAAATGTGTGGCCCCAAAGTCCAAAAGTAGAGTAGGAAAGGGAAAATATTTTCAAAAGGAAAGTAATTAAAGGATTTTCTACATTACATAAAACCAATGCAAAATAATAATAAAAAATTGCACCCAGAAACACATCATGGTGAAATTACAGAATATGAAAGAGAAAATAGGTCTGTGCTAGACAATGAGAAAACAGTATTTTAAAAATATGTATCGTAAGTATCAGTTCCTCCCAGTGATTGCGTTCCTTACGTGTCACAGTCATGTACTAAGAAAGATATTTAAAATATTTTCAAGGGAACAAGAAATGCATAACGCTGAGTTCTTAGACACGTGAATGAGGAAAGTGAGGGAAAACAGTGGTTTATTATCTTCAGTGGGCCAAGAGATTAATGCTCAGCTCAAAATGATATATGTAGTAAAAATAGCTTTTGTGAATAAAGGTATAAGCCATTTTAGGTGAAGACAAAGTTTGCGAACAAGTCGAAAGAGAAGGGTGGGAGTGTAGCTCAGCAGCACAGTTGCCTGCCTGGCAAGCGCAGGTTCCCGAGTTCGATCCCTGGTACCAATAAATAAATAAAGAAGATTTACATGATAGCCATTAACATTTAACTGGAGGTAATAAAGGTAATCCATTTAAGTATCCAGTGTCCTTTGCGTTGTTAAGAATAGTAAGTTCCCTGTCCAGTTAGAGTGAGAGTAGGTACCCTATCAAAAGGAAACCAAAGCGGGAGAGAGAAGATGCAGAAAAAAAGGGAGATAAATACAAAAGTATGGTAATATTTGGTAGAATACGGCTGAGGATACAGTTCAGTGAGAATAAATCCCCAGCACTGTCCAAAGAAAAGCAGTAAAATACACCCACAGAAACGGATGTTCACAATAAATATAAATGATATATGAGTCCATATAAGCATAGCTAACATATTTGTGATAAAATTAAAACATTTTCTCCAAGATTAGGGGTGAATCAAGAAGTGGTAACTATCACCATTTCTAGTTAGCGTAATACAGGTTATTAATGTATACTGGCTTTTAACCTGTGTAATGGCGGGTGGTGTGATGGTGGTGGTAGGAGAAGTGATACTTTTGTGCATTTTTTTTTTTTTTTTAATTAAGTATATTGGTACATTTTAGGTATACAACATAATGACATTCATCATTGGGAATTTGTTCCTTTACATGCTATATCTGGGTTCTTATTTTTTCCCCATTCCTCTGTCCTCCCTTCACCCTCTTCACCCTTTCCCTATTTACAAAGACTTTATTTTCATTTTTTTCCTTTTCTCATACAAATTCCTTTCCCTTCTTTCCTTTCCCCTACCCCTCCTACTTCCTCTTCCCCTTTGGACCTTTTCTTTCTGTTTCACCTTATCTATTCTACATTTTTTTCCTTATTTACACTTTCAGTTTCTCACACCAGAGAGACTAGCTGGTATTTACACGTGTGTCCTATTTGTTTCATTTGAGTATGACCTCAGTGTGCATCCATTTAGCTACAAATGTCTCTATAGTTTCTTGGTCCTTGTGGCGTAGTAGTACTCTGTTTTATAAAAAACAAAACAAAACACATCTTCATCCAGTCTCCAGTTGATGGGCAATTGTGCTGTTTACAAGTTCTGGCCATTACAAACTGTGCCCCTATAAACATGGGTGCACATATATCACTGTGGTATGATCCCTTTAATTCTTTTGAGAAGATAGCCAGCAGGGGAATAGCTGGGTCAAATGGGACCTCTAATCCTAGTTTGTTTGTTTGTTTGTTTTTGAGGTGTTTTCATAGTGGTTGCACCAGTTGGAGTAGTACTACTTTTTTTTTTTTTTTGTACTGGAGATCAAACTTGGGTCCTTGCGCTTGCGAGGCAGGTGCTGGAACCACTGAGCCAAATCCCCGGCCCCTAGTAGTAACACTTTTGAACAGTGCTTCACATCTGGTACTTTATTAATTCACTTAAACCTTATGACTGCTATACAAAACTGTGTGGAAACAGAGAAAGTAAATTACCTGAGGTTAACCCGTAAGGAGAATATAGTTTAGTCAAGGCAGTATAAATAACAAGCCAGGTGTGGTGCACACATGTAATTCTGGCACTTTGGAAGGTGGAGACAAGGAGGATCACAAGTTTAGCAAGACTTGGTCTTAAAATTAAAAATGTAGGGCTGGGAATTTAGCTCAATGCAAAGGCCTTGGGTTCAGTCTCCAGTACTGCAAATAAAATGAAACCAGCAACAACAAAATCAAGAGGTATGCCATCCATGTTCATGGTTATTGTAAAACTGAATGTTATGAAAATGATCATTTTATAGATTCATGATAATTATAGTCAAAACCCCAGCATATTTGAGAAATTACACCTGATTTATAGTTTATCTAGAATCATGAAGCAGAAGAATAAAGATATATTTGCCTTGAGAAATCAAGCCATATCATTGATGCAGTATGTTTTTGGGCTAGGGATAAAAAATAAGTCAATGGAATGGAGTACAGAAGCTAGAAATAAGCCCACATAATATATATGTAAACTTGTTAGCCTTCACACTATACACAGCATCAAGTACAGAGATATTAAAGTAGAAAACAGTGAGGTCTTTGGGCTGGGGATTTAGCTCAGTGTTGCCGCCATCTGCCTCGTAAGTGCAGGGTCGCAAGTTCCATCCCCGGTTCCAAAAAAGAAAGAAAGAGGTATGTTTTTGGTTCTTGGGATTGAACTCAGGACCTTGCTTTGTAGGGCAGGTGGCGGCACCACTGAACTAATTCCCTGGCCCAAGAAAGGGTTCTTAAGTAATAAGCAAAAAAAAGAAAAGATACCAAGTTTGAATACATTATAATTAGGAATTTAAGTTCATGAAATGACACCATCAGAAAGTAAAATGATACATCTGGAAGACAGGGCTTCTGTAAAAGAAGCAAAAGATAAGCCAGCATGAGACTTACACAGGTGCTGCCCAGGTGAATGTGGTGTGGTACGTGTCTGTAATCCCAGCACTGCTGCGGGAGGTTTAGGCAATTTAGCAAGCCCAGCCTGGAAACTTAGTAAGAGCTTGTCTCAAAAATATTTTTTTTAAAGGGAAGAGGGTATAGTTTAGTGCAAAAGGTTTGCCGGTTTACTGTCCGGTACTGTGCCAAAAGAAAAGCAAGGTAGGTAGTACGTAAAGTAGCTAATTAAGTGCAAACTTGTTCAGATGTGTTTTGTTTGTACCGGGGATCGAACTCGGCTTGCAAGGCAGGCCATTGGAACCACCAAGCCAAATCCCCGGCCCCGTTCGAATGTTTTGATATTTAAGGAAGTACAATTTAATTGTACTAGATCGGTGAATACTAGAATAATATCTGTTGCAAAATCTTGAAGAGAGACTGGAAAGGGGAATGTTAGATCATGGGAGCAAACAGGTAGGTATAACCATGTTGGCTAATAATAGGCATTGTTGAGTGAAGTTGAAGATGTTCCCATTCCTGTACCCTAACAGTATAATCCAGGAAAGAGTTTCAGGATGTATGCAACGACACGTAGGGCTGCGTTTGTCATGGCAGCAGTCGTACACCAAAGGGAGAGTGGATAAATAAAGCTGGATACTTGCGTGGTGGAATATTATATGTGACAATGAAGTAGAGCCCTGTAATTGTATAAGTGTCAGTTCCTTAATGTTGAGCAAAAGTTGCCAGATAACAGTGTGATTCTTCATGTGTGTTTATGTAGTAGATAATTTAGCCATATACAGTACTTACAGATAGAAACTAACAGTAGAACCAGAAACACAAGGAAAAAGGGATGTGAAAACCCTGGAGCAGTGATGGCAAACCTTTTAGAGCTTTCAGTGGTGACAAACAGCTGGCTCTGCCACAGGGCCCTAGAGCCAAGGGAAGCAAGACTGATCTAGAACAGGGGTGTGTCCTGAGAGACAGAAGTGATCTGCTCTCTTCAGGATGTGATCATGGTTGTTGTCAGTTCAGTGCCTGTGCATAGTGATAACACTTGTGCATACTTTGATCTTCTCAGTTAACTAGAATAAAACCACTACCAGAATCTGCTTGTCCCTGGTGGCTGTGCTACATTTCAAGGAACTAAAAGTCTAGAAGGAAATAGTTAACTTCAGAAACAGCCTCTGAAACTTGCTGCCGGCTCTCGAAATGCCTTCTTCTTCCCTAATATTCAAGAAAACTCAAAGTGGCCTTAAAAGGGGACCTGGGTAATTTCCATTCTCTAATCGGTGTGTGGTCAGTTTAGGAGTGCTTTTACTGAGGGTGTGATAAGATTGCAGAAGAAACTGTTGTGTGTGGTTTGGCATTTACCGTTCTGCTCTTGATGTCTTTTGTTCTCCGTTTTCCCCCTCAGACAGAAGATATGTTGTGGGATTATCTATAAAGGCCGTTTTGGGGAAGTCCTCATCGACACGCACCTCTTCAAGCCGTGCTGCAGCAATAAGAAGGCGGCTGTGGAGAAGCCAGAGGAGCAGGGCCCGGCACCACTGCCCATCTCCACTCAGGAGTGGTGACCGAGGTTCACGTAGAAGGGGAACAGAAATGATTCAAAAGACCACAAAGCAACAAACTGATGTCCTGTTTTTAACTCGGATACCTGCTATTCTGCCAAAAGACATTTTCTAGGATAGTTTTGAATGGGTTATTTCCCCCGGTCCCACCAAACTCTGAAGCCAGTGTCTAGCTTACTAAAAGAAAAGTGTACATAATATTTAAGATGCTGAGTATTTCATAGGAAAGCTGAATGCTGCTGTAAAGTGCTCTTTAAGTCTTTTTTTAAATCCCCTTCTAATGAATGAAATAGGGGAATTTCAGGGGACAGAGATGGGATTTGTTGTATGATAAACTCTATGTAGTGTTAGTCTTTCTATATTGAGAAGCAGTGGTTGGGGCATTTTTAAGATGGCTGGCTACACTTGTTTCCCTCATGATCAATTTGTCATAACTAGCTAACAGGACTTGCCCCTAGAGGTAGTTGATAATAACTGAAATACTAAGGTCTTGCCAAGGTTCTGATGATTCAAACCTGTACTACTGATTATTAAGCAGGACAGACTGAGCTTTCTGCTGCAAATACCTTGAAGGAAGAAGTGGTTTTAAAATCCACAGAGAACAGCCAGGCGTGGTGGTGCGTGACTACAATCCCTGAACTTGGGAGTCTGAGGCAGGAGCATCCCTGAGAGGTCAAGTCCTGCCTGAGCTACATAGTGAGCTCAAGACATGCTTGTACTACAAAGCGAGACACTGTCTCAAAAAAAAACAAAACAAAAACACCACCCACAGATAGCTTGGCAGTGTATGTTGTGTTCTGTCACCTCCCTTCATTTTAATGTTTGCTAAAGACTTTAGTTCACGTGAGACTGCAAGTGGAATCAGCTCCTCCCAATTCCATAGGACTAGAGTGAGCACAGTGTGACTGTCGGGCTGTGTGGATGTCTTCAGGCTGGCATGAAACGGGTTCATGCTGCTTGGGCATGTTTCTTTAGAGCTTGCCGAGTGTGTGAGTAATGGGCTTTGCTGGTGGTATCTGACTGTGACTTCACTGAAATCACTCTGCACAATTCAGTTTCAGCTCTGGATTACTTCAGCTGACCTTTGTGAAGGTCTTAGCGGTGTAAAGTAGTAGGTGTTTGACTTATTCTGACTTTCTAGGAGTTTAGGCTTGTTTTTACTCTTAAAGTAAAACTCAGTGGGAGAAAAGAGGTGTGTGTGAATGCTGAGCGGGTCGGCTTTGGTTTGGCTTCTTTCAGTTAGGTTTTTTTGAACATTGAGACGAGCTTGAGCATGGAGCTTTCAATTCTAAAACGCTCGTTCAAAGGCTGTCGCTTGAACCCAAACCAAAGTACACTCTCTGCCTCTTTTCTGAAAGTTCAGGAAGAAAATGGCACCAGTCCAAACTTCTCGCGATGAGGGAGGAACATTTGCTTGCCTTAAATACTAAGATGACTCAGTGCTTCTTTAAAAAAAACTGGATTTTTAAAAATTGGTTAGTATTGTATGAAGGAGTGAACCACTTTTTATAGGTACCCTAAGGTTTCATATCTCTTAATTAATCTAAACTTACCAGTAGATGTTTCTTCCTTTCGAGAAAACCCCATGCACTCTTTCCACCATTAGCAGTGAGGTAGGTGGCTCTCCACGGCCTCCAAAGGTATGACAAGGGTCCAGCCATCCCATCCTCCCGAGTTGTTTTGAAATGGTTTCTTTTTTTTGTACATTTTGGCTGCAGTATTGGTGGTAGAATATACTATAATATGGATCATCTCCACTTCTGTATTTATTTATTTATTACTAGCCCTCAACCACAGTCTTCTATTTCCCCTTCCACCTCTCTTCGCCTGTAGGATGTACTGTATGTAGTCATGCACTTTGTATTAATATATTAGAAATCTACAAATCTGTTTTGTACTTTTTATACTGTTGGATACTTATAATCAAAACTTTTACTAGGATATTGAATAAATTTAGTCTTACTAGAAAATAAAAGCTGTTTTGTGGCTTTATATTCTGTGTCTTTGGTAAGAATAACTAATGTTCTTGGCTTTCACAGATGTTCTAATCCCTTAGTATGACACCTCGCCAGCAAGGGAAAATATCCTCTTTACTGAGAAATAAAGATGAGACTTTAAAGGATTTTTAAAACTGGTATGCACAGTAATTAAGTCAGTGTTTAACATGGTTTAGCAGTGAAGAACGTTCAGTACTTTAATGTCCGTGATGTGACCTCATTATCTACTAGTCTGCTTTTTTTTTTTTTGAGACTGGGTCTCACTGTGTAGTTGAGACTGACTTGGAACTCACTATGTAACCCAGGCTGGTCTTGAACTCAGTGATCCTCCTGCCTCAGCCTCCCGAGTGCTGGGATTACAGATGTGCGCCACCATGCCTGGCTTCCTGGTCTGCTTCTTACTGGTCATTTAAATAAATTTTCAGAATTACGAGGAATCCCAAGGTGTGATTCCTATCAGATTTCTGAAAACATTGTGCTGTTACCTGGTGAAGGTAGATCTGTGGGCCAAGCTTTCTGTACTACCGTGGAGGTTTTTGTTCTTGCTTATTTGTTGTACTGGGGATCAGAACGAGTCCTCCTGTGTGCTAGGCAAGTGCTCCAGCACGGTTTCCGCTGGCCCAGGCCCTGGGGAGGAGTAATTCTGCTTTGGAATGGTCCACTGGTGTCATTGGCACCTAATACAGTGCCTGTGAAATTACTGACTGAATAGTGAAAAGGTGATAGTCCTGTAGTACCTATTGCTGTGGAGCAAGGTGCCACAATTCAGTGGCTGAAACAAACGAGCTCAAGTTTCTGTGGGGCCCAGCTGAGCAGGCTGCCAGTGGTCTTGGAAGCTGCTGCAGGGATCAGCATTGGCTCTACCCACATTCACCGGTGGAGTGGCGCCGCCCGACCTGGCTCTCCTTGCAGCTGTGGGACCCAGCGCCCTGCCTTCTTCCTAGGAGACACCCCCTGGGTTACTTGCCACCTGGGGTCTCCCTGCGTGTCCTTACTGCAGTAAATGAGCAGGACCGTCTGCCCCCAAGACAAGCTTCAAGTCCTGCCTTTGTAAGGTGAAAGGTACACAAAGGAAGGACCACGAAGGGTGGAGTGTGGGTTAAGAGAAAGTTGTCTCGTTATGAAACTGGTATGGGCCAGGTGCTTTTTCCTTTTTTGTCCTTATGAGTCGGGCTCACTGTAGCACAGGCTGGTCTTGCACACACAGCAACCAACCGTCCTATCCCGTCTCAGCCTCCCAATTGGCATGCACCACCGTAGCCAGCTGAGCCAAGTGCTTTTCAATACTGCTTAAACCTGTGAAATAAAAGGCTATTTATTCACAGGCAAGTAAGTAAACGTATAGGGAAGTCAGTCATTTGAAGAAAATCCACTTTTTTAAAAATTCTAAAGCCTTTTTCTCTCCAGACTGTCCCCTTTCTCTCACCCTGCCTCCCCACCCCTCATTCCCCTCCTCAGAGTTTTGCTGTGTCGCCCAGGCCAGCCTGCTTCAGCGTCCTGAGCCCTGGGATCGCCTGCACCACGTGCCCAGTGTTACATACGCTCTGCATCTAACCCTTCACGAGGACGGCCTGGCCAGGTCTCTTGATTCCCTCCTGAAGGCTGAAAATGGGCAAGTTTTACCCTTTCAGGGAGGCTGCCCTCTGTGTATAAATCACTTTCGGTTTTTGCTAACTGCAGATGCACTGAGTATTCTGTCTTGTCTTTCTGTGCAGAAAACAGTCCTTGGGGTTTAGTGATAAAACTGGATATCCTCAAAATTACTCCAAGTAGCCGGAGGGCTCCTCAGCCCTGCAGTGGAGATTGAGGTGCCCAGGGAAGCTCTGCTCAGCACCCAGAACACTGCCCCAACACCCAGGAAGATGGAGAGCCGAGATGAACAGACATGGGTCATTCCACAGGCTCCTGTTCTCTGAGAAGGATAGGAGGACACTGTGAGCTGTGAGCTGTGGTGTGATGCTCTGGGTGTCAGATTCCTCATAGCATGGTTAGAGACTGCCTGTGACTACACTGAGTTGCAAGCTTCAGTGTAAGCTTTGTTAAATCCTGCCCTGTGTCTCTTTAGGACGTCTGTCCTCTACACTTCTAATAGCTTAGGTTAACCTCACCCTGTCCGCATGTGGGTTTTTTGCAACTGTAGGGAAGAGAAGTGGTTTTATGTTTAGGTACTGCACTAAATCTCAAGCTAAGCACAGTAGTGCACACCTACAAACTCAGCACTCTGGGAGGCTGAGGCAGGAGAATGTTGAGTCCAGCCTGCAAATTTAGACCCCGTCAAAAGGGGGGTTCTGGAGTTTTTTAAAATAGATCTATATTATGGTTTGGGGGGAACAAAAAGAGTCTGTGTGGTGCTGCTAACAATTACCAAGCACCTAGTGTCAAGTTAGTGATGCTGAGGTCAGCTGCTTGGTTAGGGTGGTGATGCCACATCTATCCATTAAACTGAACGATCTGTATTTAGTGAGACTGTTCCAGTGTTTTGTTGTTTTGGTAGCAGTCATCGAACTTGTGCTTGGGCAGTCAGCGGCCCCACTGAGCTAAATCCCTGGCTTTGTTTTTGAGACGGGTGTCACTGTGTAGTTGAGACTGGCTCAAACTCAGGGCAGTCCTCCTGCCTCAGCCTCCTGAGTGCTGGGATTACAGATGTGTGCCACCCACCCTGCTCTAGACTTTTAAAACAGCCTCGCATGCAACCCCCGTGTGGTATATGCTAAGGAGTCCTTCCACACCTGGGGGTCCTGTCCTTTCACCTAGCAGTCCTAGCCCACTGTGGTGGCTGTGCTTTATTATCTTTGCCATCTATCTAACTGCATATGAGTGCATTTTCTTGGTTTCTCTCGTTCCCGTTCTGAAGTAAAGATGCAGAGAGGGGTGGAGCTTGCATTTGTACACGCGTATTAATATCTCCAGGTCAAAGACAGTCAACAGTGAGCTTAGAAGCCCTGATTCAAATCCTGGTGGTTCTTCCCGTGTGTGAGCTGGGGTCTGAAACAGTCGCGGGCAGCCGAGTGCTCGAGGAGAAAGCTTGTCCTGCAGAACGACCGGCTGGGGTGACGGCGCTGGGAAGCCAGTTCCTGCAGCCGTGCGGGACCCGTTCAGCCTCACGGTGTCCGCGGGGACCCAGACGCTGATCACTCCGGGGACCCTGCGCCCCGCCGCACTCTCGGCTGGGACCCCGACTCGGGCTCGGGCTCCCCAGCTCCTCTCTTCTCCAAGCAAACCAGTCACAAGAGGTGGAAAACGAACAACAAAACCAGATCCCCAACCCCGTTTTGTTTTGAGAGTTGCCGGGGTTGGACTCAAACTTGGGATGTCTAGGGCGTGAGCATCTCCCCTGTTAAAGGGAAATCAGCTCACCCGAGGCCGCCCCACAGAGCTGCGGGGAAGGACAGGGAAGGACGAGCCGCCCCGCCCCGGGGTTCACCGGCTGCGGGTGGCCTGGTGGCTTCCGGACGCCTGTTACTCCTCGGATGC